AAATACTCCAATCAAACATGTTTACAGCCATTTAGAGCCATATAGATTGTCTGCTTTGCTGACAATCAACCCAAGACCTCTGTCAGCAAAGGACATGGTGCCAGGTCCAGAGAAGGTGGGACAGAGACACAAACAGGAACCGCTCCGTCGCTGGGAGCATCGCTCTGATGGGCCCTCGAGGACATGTCACAGACCGCGGGGCACGGGCAGATGGCAGGCCAGGAGAAGGGGCTGCGCTGCCGGGAGGCAGTGCTTTGAGCTCTAATAGATGGAACACTGCTAACCAGCGAAGGTGGAGAGAGGGCACCCGTCTGAAAGGATGAAGAGGCAGCAAAGCATAGCTGGCCTCAGGGAACCGGAAGCCACAGGGACATCAGGCTGGGTGCTGCAGTCTGCCGGCCACTGGCTGGGGGACTGTACTGGGCCTGGAGGGACATCCCTGACACTCTCCACCCGGATGCCAGGGCCCCCCCAAGCCCCAGGTGAGAACCACGGATCCCATGGTGGGAATGAGGCCAGCCTGTGGGAAAGTGGGGCTGGGACAGCTCTGCACAGCTTAATAGGAAAGTTGGATTTCTATTTTGTGGGGCTTTGGTGACGCCAATGGCTGGTCAGTGCTATCCGTCAGGAAGTGATTGATGATAGAATTAGAAGAAAGGGACTGCCAAGGCTAGCGGGGCACTCGTTGCCTGGGTCCAAGGAAAAGGAAATAAAGGCTGGCGATGTGACAGTGTGGGGGAGCACAGAGGGAAGGAACTGGTGGAGACACAGGGCTGGCCCTGCCCAGGGCTATGAGCAGGTACCCGGGGGTCGTCCTATTAATTCTTCTCACGGCACCAAGAGGCAGCTGTGAGGATCCCTTTCCTGAGGACAGAACTGCTCCAGAACCACACAGCGAGGATCCACAGAACCAAGATCCGGGCCAGCTCCACAGCGGGCGATCTTGACCCCTCACTCGTGGTCCTGAGGCAGGGATCACAGCCCCCTGGACACACAGACCCTCCTAGGAACTTCAGGAAGGAGAAGCAGACGCCCCGGACCAGCGGCAGGACCCAGGGTTTCTGCCTTCCAGGTCACATGGGGACCAGCCACTGCACAAGTGAACACACGGTACTTTAACCGGCGCTGGGGAAAGGAGCCCTCGCTTTCAGGGTGGAAGGGCGGAGACCCCACCCTCGATGGGGCCGGGCCTCCCAGCTTTAACGCGCGCTGGGGGAAGGAGCCCTCACTCTCAGGGTGGAGACCGCAGCTCGATCGGGCCGGCCTCCCTGCTGGGCACAGCCTGAGCCACAGTACCAAGGCCAGAGAGGATTACCAAGGTTCACCTGGCCCAGCTTCCGGCAGCCCCCTACTAGGCCACTACCCTCACCTGAACAGCCCGGTCCATCACCAAGCCCCACGCTCTTCTGCCAGCCCTGCCCCCACAAGGCCCCGCCTCTCGCATGCAAGCCCCGCCCCCAAGGCCCAGCTTGTCTGCAGCCCCGCCCCACTGGCTCCACCCCACCCCTGCAAGCCCCATCCCCAAGGCCCAGCTCACCTGCATCCCCTCCTACTAGGCCTCACTCCTCACCTGCAAAGAGCCACCCCTCACTAAGCTCCTCCCATCACTTGCACAGCCCCGCCCAACTAGCACGCCCTTCTAGAAACCCTAGACACACTAGGGTTTCTGCAGCCAAACCTGATGATTCGCTGAGTGTGAGCAGGAAGACTCAGTGCCCTGATCTGTTCAGTCAGGTTTTGCCATCAAATAGTTTGCTCTAAAATTCTGCAGAATCTTTCAGTTTTCTGAGCCATTTGGTTTTCAGAATTAAAAAGAAGAAATTGTGGACCTATACTTACTTGGATTTATATTAAAATGGATTCTTTTTTGTTTTGTTTTGTTATTTGCTTAAACCTTTTCCATTCTTTTTTTTAGCATAGTAAACTAAAAATGACAACACTTCACATATTTGGCCAGCTGTTGCCTCTGTGCTATGCTTGATGTTGTAGCAAATGTAAAAGACAAACAGCTTACTGTCTAGAAAGACTGATGCGGCTGTGACTGGAGGCACATGGTGGATGCCATGCAGAGGGCCAGGACAAGGGCGGGAGGAGGAGTGGGAGCTGCTGCTGCTGGGGGGAGAGGGAAGAGCTGGAGAGGGTGGTGTGAGAAAGCAGCTGCGTCTGGGCAGGGCTCCAGCAAGGGAGCCAGGCAAGTGACGAGGGAGTTCCAGGCAAGGTCCAGGCATGGGAGTCCTGACAACAGACTTAGTGCATTTGTGAAATCCTGCAAAGGCCGGGCAGACACCTGGGTTTATAGTACTGGCTACTATTAATAAGGGCCTCACCCTTATTAATGCTGCCTCACCTTATTAATGCTGGTAGATTCTTCTCCTTTATTTTTCAAATTTTATAGAAATGTACTTATTTTTGAGACTAGGACTCACCCTGTTGCCCAGGCTGGAGTGCGGTGGCGTGATCTTGGTTCACTGCAGCCTCGAACTCCTGGGCTCAAGCGATCCTCTCACCTCAGTCTCCCAAGTAACAAGGTGCCACCATGCCTGGCTCATTTTATGTGTGTGTGTGTGTGTGTGTGTGTGTGTGTGTGTATGTGTGTAGGTGTAGGTGGAAACTTTGTTGTCCAGGCTGGTCTCAAACTCCTCAGTTCAAGCAATCCTCTTGTCTTGTGTATTAGTCTAATCTCACACTGCTATGAAGAAATACCCAAGACTGGGTAATTTTTAATGAATGAGCTAAAAAGTAAAGAGGTTTAATTGACTCACAGTTCTGCATGGCTGGGGAGGCCTCAGGAAACTTACAATCATGGTGGAAGGCACCTCTTCACAGGGTGGTATGGAAGAGAATGACAAGTGAAGGGGGAAGTCCCTTATAAAACCATCAGATCTCGTGAGAACATACTCACTGTCATGAGAATAACATGGGGGAACTGCCCTCATGATTCAATTACTTCCTACCAGGTCCCTCCCACAACATGTGGGGATTATGGGAACTACAATTCAAGATGAGATTTGGGTGGGGACGTGGCCAAATCATATCACCTTGGCCTTCCAAAGTGCTGGGATTAAAGGTGTGAGCCGCTGTGTCCAGCCATAGAAACTTACGATAAGTCATGTTTCTTGTTTGAGAAATAGCTAACATGAATGCTATTATTAAAGCTATATATTATTAGAAAGCAGACATCTCACTGTATCTGCTGATTTTAAATGCATTGATAATCTGATACAAAGTACGGTAAGCTTGGAAACAAGTAATTTAACAGCAGTAGATGATGCAGGTCGTAGTGGGCCGCTTATGCATGACTGTTGGATAGTAGGCTCCCTAGATTGGGCTGAGGAGACCCGAGGTCTCACCTCTGCCAGTGACTTGCTGTGTGTGCTTGGCCAGGTGACTCATGGCACCTGGACGGAGGGGGTGGCAAGTGGTGTGGTGATCACAGGGATGTGGTATGTGATTGAGGGAGAGGGCCGGCTGGCATGACTGGAAGAGAAGACAGTTTCTTTCATACCGAGAGTATGGACACTTACCAGGAGGCTTGCCTAAGGTAGGAGAAGATCTTCCACCCTGCCCCAGGAGTGGGGAGTCTTTCATCTTTTTGGGGGGCATTTCTATCCCCCCAGCCCCTCCAGCTGTTCTGGAAGCCCCAGCTTTGTGCTTCCAGCTACCACCGAGAATCCATCCCAAACTAGGAGAAGCAAATACTGATCCCGGACTCTCCCCGCTGTCGCCGGCTAGCCCACTCCAGCATTGCCCCTCCTGCAGGCCCGTGCTTCGCACTGACAGGAGATTATATGCACAGAAACAGGAGGCACACAGCCGATGTTGGAAGGGGTGCTGTGTTACTGAGGTGCAGTACACAAAAGCAGGAGGCACTCAGCAGGCGTTGGAAAGGGTGCAGTGTTACTTAGGTGCAGCACAGTACCGTGGGAAGGGCAGACACCAGGGTGAATCCTGGCTCTGATTCGGGCAGCTTGTTTCATCACCCTGAGCCTCAGTTGTTTCATCTGTAAATGAGGATGAGAACATCTCCCTCACAGGATTCTATGTGACATGATTAGAAAATGCCTAGCCAAAAAAGAATAAAAAATTTAAAAATAAAAAAATGGAAAATACCTAGCCAGTAATAAGCACTCAAAAATATACATATACACACACACATTCTCATCGACCTTCTTTAGGTCTTACTTTCCTTGTTTGTAGGATAAGGGACTTGGACAGGATGGTTCTGTTCTCTCCAGCTCTGAAATACTGGCTTCCTGGCATCATCTAATTTCAGGCAGAAAAGCCAGTTTTCTCAGTGTGTCGAAGATCACCATTTCACAGGCTATTTTGTCTACGTTTAACTGCTCGTGTTTTTCTGGTTAACTCAGGTGACATCTGTTCCCGAGCTGTTCCTGATGGCCATGAAGCTCAGCCACGATGACACAGGAGCCAGGTATTTACATCTGGCCAGAGAAGACAGGAATAATCTGTTCAGGTATGTGGTGCATTGTAAGAACATGGTCTTGAACGTTTTATTTAAATCGGGGATGTCCAATCTTTTGGCTTCCCTGTGCTACATTAGAAGAACAACTGTCTTAGGCCACACACTAAATACACTAACACTAAGGACAGTTGATGAGCTAAAAAAAATAAATAGAGGACCTCAATGTTTTAAGAAAGTGTAGGGATTGTGTTGGGATGCATTCCAAGCCATCCTGAGCATGCGGACTGCAGGCTGTGGGTTAGACAAGCTTGATTTAAAGCACTGACTGTATATTACATGGTTTAAATATCATCTCACTAGTATTTTTATTGACAGAGCATCTTGAAAAATAAGGAAAAGCTTACATGGACTTACAATCTCATCAAAATACAATTTTATAGTCTAAATCAATGATTTACATTAGAGTTGGGAAACCCTGGGTTGGAGGATTGTGGTGTCAGAATGATGATTTCTAGTAGCCCGAGGTGATGATGCATCTGGGAAGGGTGTCCGCAGCACTAAGATTAACGTTTTGTATTCTAGTCATTCTCCTTCCCTAGCGTTCTGTTCCTCCCCCTTCCCTAGCCTTCTGTTTCTTGTTCCCCCCCTTCCCTGGCATGCCGTTCCTTCTTCCTTAGCGTGCAGTTCCGTACCACTCCCATGGACAGTACCGTTGTTCCTCACATTCTTAAGCATACCGTCATTTGTGGGTCTCGGAAATATCCGTGCAGAGACCCTTTCTTCAAAGTGTTGAACCGGTCCCTCTCCACGTTCATGAACGCCTTCACAGGTAAGACCAGCATCCTGAACGGAAAACCGTGTTTGGGTTTGCCAGGCACACCCACTGGAATTCAGTTAGTTTCTGAGAAGGGATGAGAAGAGTGGGCAATTAATGTTCTAGAAAAATGTTTACCTCTCTCTACTTGAAGGACGTTAGAAATTTCATTCTTCAGGAAAGCCACATGGTAGAGAGATTATAAAAACTAGCTTTTTAATAAAAGGTACGTGAACTTTTCCCAGAAAGGTTTAAAACAATTTTCTCTTGTGGATAACGCTACAATGCCAGGCCTCCAGAGTTACCACTAACGTTGATGTTTGACTTTTAGTAAGACTGACGCTAGTGGATAGGGTGACGATGAACAGTGCACTCTGTGAAGGAGTGACATCGAAGAGCAGGTTAAATCCACACTCTTACAGAATGAGGTCATCTTTGTAGATGTGTGAAAGTCTCTGGAGACACTTGAGAGAGTTTAGATGTTCACTGAAGAAAGCCCTGGTGCCCGTCCAGTGCAGATCCTGAGATGGGATGGGAAAGCTGGCACTCAGGGTGATGAGCTGGGACATCTGCTGAGGTGAGGGGCCAGAGCATGGAGCCACTGCCCCATCTCAAGAATAGTTACAACTTACTGTCCTAGGACAAAGGGGAAAAGAGGCTTGAGATTCAATAATTTTAGTAGAAATCTGTTAAATTTTACAATTTCACTTTTCCTTTGTACCCAGCTAGTGATTATACTCTGGATCCATTTTCCACACAAAATCCCAAGGACTTTCAGAATCTCCTCTCAGTGTATTTGGATGCCACCTTTTTCCCAGGTTTACATGAGCTGGATTTCTGGGATGTCATGAGTGATTAACTAGTTGATACAGACTTTAGTATCTGAGTCACTGTCAGCTTATAATTATTTGTCCTTAGGCAGGAAGGATGGCGGCTGGAGCATGAGAATCCTAGCGACCCCTAGACACCCTTGGTCTTTAAAGGAGTCATCTTTAATGAGATGAAGGGAGCGTTTGTAAGTTTTCTTTTTTATGTTGTGTTCAGCTTACCTTACCCATGTACCGTATCATGATATAGACACATCTGGAAGATGGTTGATTTTTCTTCAATATTCTCATTATAGTTGACATGTTCTTGGATTAACTGGGGTCAGTGCTGTGAGCAGAAGCCAGGGGGTAGCAGGGCCAGGCTGCTGTTCTTCCCAGCAGGTCTCAGACCATGTCTGACGATGCCCATGTATGATCTGCAGCGAGAGAAAAGCTATTTTCATACCACTATCAACACATTGTCTTTTACACTCATTCTTGCCCAAGTACATGGTGTACTTTCTAGAGGCTGCGTGGCGAGGTGTGTGACACACAGCAAGCTGGATACAGAGCAGATGGGGAGTCCAGCTTCACCTCTGAGCCACATACTACAGAGATTTGCAAAAAAGGCAACACAGCATCACTCTAAGTAGTCAGTGTTTTACTTTGTCATGAGAAGTATTTTTCAAACATATTTATATTAACATGTAATGATGGCTTACCTTAATGCATACTTTTTTAATACTTTAATTTTTAAATCAACTTTAATTTAGAATAGAGAAAAATTATATAAACACACACAGGCACCTACACTGGCAAAAAAGCCCACATAATCAAAAGCTATTTGGGTCCTCATTAAAACCCATTTGTGCCTAGTGTTCCATTATCGGAATCCTAAGCTTGTGGGAGTTATTTATAGCCTACAGCTCAAGGTCATTGCCAAGGTCTGACTTTTACAAAAAAAAGTTGCAACCTCAGGCATAAATGGGTTAATTTTTCAGAGTGTAAAGGAGTCTTGAGACCATTTTGGATCAAGAGCTGCTGTCCTGGGCCCGTGTCTTCATGTCCCCTTGTGACTTTGACAACCTGCCTGTGCTGGTGTTCCTGAGGCTCATGGGTGGCCTGCTCTCTGATTTCCGTAGCTCCCCTCAGCTGGTGAACTATTTCTTACCTTTTCATTCTCAATTTGGTGGTCTTTTCCTCCAAGGAGTCTTCTTGAAACTCAAGTTGGGGTGACAGCTTCTCCCCACTTCCCTCGTGGCTGGTGGGCAGACCTGGTGGTCCCTCCGATTTACAGCTCTCGGCTATGCATTTGTTGCAACACACATCAAAAAGTCCATTGTTCTCAATCCTTGGGTCCTGTGCGTGGATGATGAGTGATTGAATACAATGTTAAACAATGCCTGTAGCGGTGTCTTTTGTTTGTTTGTTTGTTACCGAGTTAGAAGATTTTATTTGCAAAGTATTACAGGCATATGCACCAGAATGTGATCAATTGGCTATATTGTAAGCAATGTAGTGTGTGTGTATTATTTTATATGTATATATTCTTATTTATTTACTTCACATTTCAAGACAATGAGAGGATATTCCTCCCAGTACCTTCAAAACAGACTTCTTCCCCACCACACGTACTCCGTAGTCTCTGGGGGTGACCCACTGTGCATCCTGGAGCTTACGTGGGAGCAGCTTAAGCAATTTCATGCCACTCACTATCACCCAAGCAATGCTAGGTAATATTTTGTTGGAAAAGTTTGATGGTGGATTGTGAAAAGTTGACTTGTTTGTGTTCTTACATTTTCATGACGTGGCTTCTCTCACATTTAGCGATGCTTAAGAAATATCTAAGTGTGGGTAAGATTCTTGGCCTAAGTTTGCCTATCTTACTTGGACATTGATTTTGGACATTTACAATGATAGCCTTCAGTGGGCTCAGAATGGTGGTTACAAACACGGTGTTTGGAGACCCCCAGAGGAGGGTCCTGGCCCCCCAGCTTCTTGCCTCACTTCCAGATTTGTTGCATGAAGAGTGGGGGTGCATGGATGGTGCCCACCCCGACCCAGGGTGTGTGAAGCTTCGAGCCTGTCTTTGGCACAGAGAAGTGCTCTTCCGATAGTGGATGCAGTCACAAAACCTTCATTACATCCTCACTTTCTGACACATCGCTTGTTTCTTATGTCACTAATATAAGGTTATTATCATAATAATATAGTTATATGTATTATGTAAAACACTAATAATTTACACATAAATGCTAATGTAAAAACATATTTGCAAGATTATTTTACGTAAAAAGAATTCAAGCATACAGAAAAGTAGACTAGGATAATGAGCCCCTAAAGACTTATCACGTAATAGATATCCTTTTCCTTGTGAAGTTTTTGGAAGTAAATTATAAACGTCATCATTTACCCCCAAATATTTGAATTTGTGACCCTAAAACATGAGGATTATTTCTTACATGAGCTAATGCCATTTTCAGTTTTAAGAGAATAAAACATACTTTCTTAAAACTGCCTATTTCTTATTCCATATTCAAATTTTCTAGTTGGCCTCAAAGTGTTTGTGGCACAGGGTCCCACAGATCACACCTGGTCGACCCGGGTCTCTCCTGGGCCCCTTCTCGGACGGCAGAGGAGTGTGCAGGCCGGGTTTCCTCCGGGCGCTCTCACTTTCCAGATGTCCTGGCTGCTCCTGTGTGGTGTTGGGTGCCATGTTCCTGTGTTTCCTGAGAACTGGAACTTAGATCCAAAGCCTTAGTTTGAGTCAGTCTGTGCCTTTTGAAGCAGAGTCCCTCGTGGGGAGCTCTGCATAGATGGCCACATTCTACCATCGTGTGAGGCCTGCTTGCCTCCACTGGGGGTCTCACGCCAGCGGGGTGCATGCTGAGAGTCGGCCACTGTCTTGTGAAGATCTGCCTTCTCCCTTCAGCCACGGAGCAGCTGGTGCACTTGAGTTTCTGGTGTCCTGTGATAATGAGTTCCTCATCAACCTATTAATGGTTTTCATATTCATTGAGGATTATTGCCTGAATCATTTATTAGAGTTTGTGAAGTTTTCAAATTCTGTAATTCTTCATTCGTTTGCTGGACATCTTCAAAGAAGAGCTCCACATCAGCTGGGGCTGTCGCGCTCACATCGCTGGGCTGTTCCCGGTTGCCTTCTTGTGTGTGGTTGATTTGTGAGTCGCGTGTGTGTGAAACGCGACTGCCTGCTCCGCTGAAGTCCAGTGTTGAGAGGCGTGTGGTGCAGGAGCTACCGTGCTGTAATGAGATGGACAAGAGTAATATGCAACTTTACTGGGCGAAGAAAAGCCAGCCATGGCAGTGGTCATTCAGGCGGCTTTAGTACTATGAATTTTTGTCACCTTGCTAGCCATCGCTTATAAAAAGTTAGTTGTCCGTTCCCCTCACAAAACAGCCAAAGAGTATGTTGTGTTTAATTTGAGCAGCTGGGTTTTTCGTTTCAGTGTGTGAGCGATAGCGTAGCAGACATAGATTAAGATTACCGAAGAACACCCGTGCATGGCGTAGAGCATGACTGATGGCTCAGTGATGTGTGAATGCCAAGTCTTTGAGAGGTGCACTGGAGCAGAGTTCGAGCCAGGTTCAAGTGTGTAGAGGGACAGCATGAGTGAGGTATGCCTTTGTCCTCTACAGAAGATGATTAATAATTAATATTAATAATAACGAATTTGAGCTGGTCATGGATGGTTGGCTTCCTGTCTTCCCTTGTCTACTTCAGCAGGGCTGAGCAGGAGGAGTCACTTGAGCAGGAGTTTTAAGCTGCCAGTGAGCTATGATGGCAGCCGACTACAGCTCCAGCCTGGGTGACAGAGCAGACATAAGTACTCTTGGTGGTCTGAGAGGGGACAGTGACAAGTATTTGGAATGTAGGATCTGTTTTGCTCCTATCCGCAATCCACATACGCGCACTCATGCGCCGCTTTACCTAAGGTATTGTTTCTTGTGTGTGTGTGTGCGCGCGCGTGGAAGATGAGGGCATGCTGGTCGTTGGTTCATGTTAGTGTGCTTGGAGAATTGAGGAATTGTAAGCTCCCTGAGGTTATACCAAATAGTGTGTCAACAAATGGTAGCGTGATGGTGTGTGTTGTGTATTGAGTGTTTACCCGATGTGTGCGTGCAAGTGTTGCCTGAAGTTAATACTTGAATGGAATGCTGTTCTCTGATCTGCTACAGGCGTGTCTTCAGCGCGCGTGAGAGGTAGCTGAGCATAATCAGAATAAAATGCAAAAAGAATGGGCAGAATACTCTCTCGGGAATACTACTTACTTGTACAGAATTTGTAAATCGGTGTGGCAGGCTAAAGACGGCCTTCTGAGCACATCTGGAGTGAACTATCCTTAAAAGAAATGCGTGCCAGAATGCTCCAACAGCTCAAGGATCATGATCGTCGGAACAGTAAAGCTCTTTACAGAGTCACAAAAAATTGTGCTTCAGCTCTGCCAGGGGGAAAGAATGCCCAGGCGACCCGTGCTGTGGCGGGACTTCCCCAGGACAGCCGCAGGGTAGTGACGCCATGTGGGCTCCGAGGCCACCGTATTTGATGCCGACCTGCAGGGAAGCTGAGGCGCATGTTCGTGATTAAGCCGAGGCTGTACCAACCAAGCCACGTTCCCCAATAATATTGGGTTTCCAAAGTACCTTTTCCCAGAAGAGAAGAGGCGTTAGACTTACTAACCTTCAATTATTGTGGTAACTTCCTCCAGGTGGCAAAACCAGGGTAACAGAGAACACCGCGCTTCTTGCCAGATGCATGCCTTTCCACATGCCTGTTACAGCGCCAAACCTCCCAACGGCATTATAGTAAGCTTTTGGAGCATGAGCTCAAAGGAAGTGACCATCTTAATGTGTTTTTCTTTCTTTCTTTCTTTTTTCTTTTTTTTTTTTTGTAGACACAGAGTCTCACTATGTTGTCCAGGCTGCTCTGGAACTCCTGGGCTCAAGCTATCCTCCTGCCTCGGCCTCCCAATGCACTGGAATGACAAGCATGAGCCACCGTGCAGGTACCACAGCACCTAAATTCCAAAATAACCTTGAAACCCTGACCTTCCATCCGCCCTGGTGACTTCCAGAGATCGGTTCCTCTTCCCGTGCCAAAGGTTTCTTGCCTTTCGCGGCCCGGGTAAAGTCACTCAAGATGTTCCCTCTGCTTCTGAAGGCCTTTGACTGAGAAGCCACTCTGGGTCCTATCCGGACCCCAAGGCGGCTCCATTCCTACTCGCACATCTCCGGGCCGGTTTAAGTCACGCTGGCCAGACTATTTCCACTTCACTCCGGTAATTTCTCCAATCCTAGCGTCTGCTGCATCACCTTTTCTTTCTCTGAGAATCCAACCCTACAGGAGGAATGCTGATGCTGGGGGGTCCTTTTACTAGAACGCTAACGCCAGAGCACTTCCCAGGGGCTCTGAGGGTCGGGCTGCAGGGCGGGGTCTGGCGCTGCCACTGGGGTCTCCCGCGGGGGGTGCTGGGCCTGGGGAGGCTGCGCTGCGGGCTCGGGGAGTGCGTGGCAGACGGATGTCCGGGCCTGGGCGCAAGGAGACTAAGGGCCCAGCATCACGTAGGCGCTCGCGACGGGCGGGGCGGCGCCCACAGCGCCCCAACCTGCAGCACCCGCGCCCGCCCCGCGCGCTCAAGGGCGAAGGGAAGGTCACCGGGGCCCATCCCCGCTCCATCCTTGTGCAGTGCGCGGTCCCGAAACGGGAGGAAATCCGCCATCCGGGCCTTTCCACGCATCTGCTGCAGGAGGAACCGGGAAAATAAAAATCAAAACCCAGCTCCGGGCGCGTCGCGTCTCCAGCCCGCGCGATCGCTAAGGCTCCCAGGTAGCGTTCGCCTGGGAAGCGCGGATCTACCATCCAGCGGCTGCAAGGATCGGGGCGCTCCACCGTCCGGGCACCGGCGCCCCCACGTGCACCCGGGGCCTGGGGCGCGCAGTCTCCACCACCTCCGGCTCGTCAATGTTAAATGTCCTCCCGGCGCGCCTGCGTCGTGGGCCCAGACACGGGCCGCTCCTGGAGAGCCGCTTCTACATTGCAGGGAAGGGGAAGCCCAGAGCCCGCGCCCCGGCTCCGCTGACGTTCCAGAGTCCCGGCTTCCTGGTCCTTCTCGTCCGCAGAGGCTGGCGGGGAGGGCCTGGGACCCATTTTAGTTTTCGGTTTTGTCACTAGCGGAAAAGCGACTAGTGCAGGAAACCCTTTTTTTTTTTTTTTTAAATCCTTTTAGGAAACCCTTTTTTAAACTCTTCCAGCGGAAAAGCGACATGCTGGGGGGTGACGTGGGGCGGAGTTAGGGGAGGGGGGGCCACTTAGGAAGTGATCGCGCTGTACCCACGCTTCGGGGGGGAAGCCCGGCCCCGTCCTACAGCTCTGAGGGAGAACGTCCCCCGAGGGCGCTCCAGGCGGGGGGGTCTGCCAGGCTCAACTTAAAACATAAACCGGAGGGGGTGGAAAGCTGGGGGGGTTCCGGACGGAGGTTCCTACTGCCGTGTCCCTTCCTCCTTCGCCCCGGGGGGGAAGGACCCCGGGGCTGCCTTGCCGGCTCACGCCGCCCCGCAGGTACGGGGGGGGCTCCGGGTCACGGGCTTCTCCCCAGTTCTCCCCATCACTTCCCCGGGGGGGGCCCCGGTTCTTCCCATCGCTTCCCCACCTTTCCCCGGGTCCTCCCAGGGGGGGCCCCCTCTTCTGCCCCGTCGCCCCATCCACTTCGCCCTGTTCTCCCGGGGGGGTCGGTCCCTCCCTCGCCGCCGGGAGGGGGGCGCGCACCTTGAGCATGGGGGGGGCTGGTCAGCATGCCGATGGCTTGCGGGCCCCGAAGAGGTGTTCCAGGGGGGGCTGCAAGGAGCCCTTGGGGGCCCGGGAGTCGTCCGCGTCCATGGCGGGGGGGGGGAGGGCAGCCCCTAGTCTGGCTGCGCAGCTGGCAATGGGAACCCTGGGGGGGCGCGCCCGACTAGGAACCGCCGCCAGGGCCGCGCCCCTGCGCGGACGGGGGGGCAATGGGCGGTGACGGGATGGACCCGAGCGCACGGGAGGGGCTGCGGGGGGGGGGGCGCGGCTAGGGGCGGGGGCACGGCTAGGGGCTCGGGCAGAGGCGGGGGGGGGTGCGGGTGTAGCAGAAGGACCTACGCGGGGGTCGTCGTAGGTGGGGGGGGGGTTAGCGGTGGGGGAGGCCGCAGAGGCCGGGGTAGAGCCACAGGTGGGGGGGGTCCCTGCGGGCGGGGCCGCGTTGCTGGCGCGCGAGCCTCGCGGGTGGGGGGGGGGACTCCGATTGGGGGCTTTAGAGATGGCCCGAGCACCCCAAGTGGGGGGGGGGGCAGCGTCCTGGGGAGGGGAGACCGCAGAGGGGCGGGGTCACATCGGGGGGGGGGCGCGCCAGAGCGGGGTGGGAGAGAACGCGGGGAGCATCTCCCGGGGGGGGGAGGGAGACCCTGAGTGGGCGGGAACGCCGGGGCGTGTGGAAACCCGGGGGGGGCGGGGAGCTCCGATGCGGGGCGGGGTGGAATTGGGGCGCGGAGACGGGGGGGGGACGCGGAGGCTCGCGCCCGACCGCGCGCACAGCTTCCTGTTGCCGGGGGGGTTCCTCCTGGGGCTGTGCTGGGAGCCTTGGGGCGCGGCTTCCTCGAGGGGGGGCCCCAAGTTTTCTCTGCAGCCTGGGATCGGGAAGGACGGACGACTGGGGGGGGATCCTCCAGGTGATGGGAAAAGCTGATCGCGGCAGGCTTAGCTTTGGGGGGGGTGCGATTTCCGGGGCCTACGGAGGCTGTGACGCTCCCGGGCCCCCAGGGGGGGCCTTGGGGAGAAGAAGCCTTGGGGTGGAGGAGGGTATCGGGCGCGAGGGGGGGAGACGCCTGGGCGCGCGAAAGTCAGAGTGGGGCAGGAGGAGGCGCAGGGGGGGTGGCCTGGAGGGTAGGCGGGACGACCCTTCCTCCCCACGGACAGGCGGGGGGGTGTATGCTGTGCCGACCTCGGCCGGCTTCACTGGCCAACTCCACGTGGGGGGGTACGCACACCCAATGGGATGTGCGGTTGCCCATCCACAGCTTAACAGGGGGGGGCCAGTTACCCTGCCATGGGAGAGGGGGCAGCCCCCACAAAAGCACGGGG